TATGCTCCTATCATAGCTCCTACTCACTCCAATGTATTGATTAGAGTGAGTAGGAGTTATGGTAGGAACATGTTGGAGCATGTTGGAGCATGTGATGCGAATAAACTTAACAGTTGAGCGTTCTGTTATTGATGTATTCTTTTAGATCATCCAATCAGTATTATAGATCTAGAACAATAAATCAATAGCAATGAGTGCTCACTCATGCCCAGTTCCACAACTCACGAGATTTATTCGCGTCGCATGCTCCAACATGCTCTTACTACTTCCAACTGTACCTCCTACTCACTCAAACGTGCTTGTTAGAGTTAGTAGGAGCTATGATAGGAACATGTTGGAGCATGTTGGAGTATGTGACGCGAACAAATCTACGGTTAACTCTTAACCAAGGTTCAATTTGTTTCTCATCATTTCCAATTCTAGAATTGGAAAAAGACAATGAATAAGTTAAACCTCGGTTAAGAGTTAACCGTGAGTTGTGGAACTCAATTGTTGAGTCTGCTGAACGTAGCCTATACCTTTGAAATACGACAAAGGCGTTTAATTCTACCAATATAATTTAACTTCAATCTCGGTTTAACTAACTCTTCATCTTTTTCCAGTTCTGAGAATTAGAAAAAGATAAAGAGCAAGTTAAACTGAGATTACAGTAATTAATCTACATTGGTACAAAGGCCCATTCTCACAATATATGGTTATCTAAAGATTAAAGGTTATCAACAGATTCATCAATAAAATTTTACTCACGAATTTCTTGGTTACCTTTAAGACAACCATATATTGTGAAATTGAGCCAAAGAGTTAAATTATAATTTTTTAATTCTAAAGGTTTCTCTCTCTTTCACCAACCTCGATTAAACTAACCGACGGTTACATGGGGCTCATTTATTAGGCCCAGTTTCACAATTCATGGTTAACTTTTAACCGAGGTTTAAAATAAATTGTATAATACTTATTTTAAGTTAAACCTCGGTTAATAGTTAACCATATTAGTTTGATGAAAGAGACCCTAATTAATGTGTAATTTTTTAACAGTTTTACTTTATTATATTCTTTCTGATATTACACTCGATTTTTTTGAAAATGTAAATTTTTATCGATATTATTATTATTATTATTTTAAAGGAAAACAGTGCCGCGGTAATTATCATCAGTTGATGAAATCACTATACTTATCGACAATAAGTAAATTATCGACATTACTTATGATCTGTACCGATAGAAATTTAAATTCTCAAAATTCGAGATAGTGTCAACTATATACGAATATCGTCGCTCCTATCGTAACCCTTGAAACGTTACGGTCATAATCGAGAATAACAATAACAGGAACGATATTCCTAATATGAATTCTGCGAGCAAGGTGAATATAAAAACTGACAGTTTCGGGCAGTTATTATTATATTGCTATTATTGTTTCGCGATTCTTATACAATGGTACATAAAAACCGGGTACATGCGCATAAAGAAAGTATTGTGTTTTTAGGTTAAATTAACAGTGACAAAAATTTTAATTTAATATAACTATCGTTAATGAATATATATAGCTGTTTAGATTAAAAATATTATTTATGTTTAGGTGGGCGAGATCTTTGCTGCAGCTGGAGTAGCTTTCAACAAGTTAGGTGAGCTAACAATGCAGCTCCATCCTACATCGGATTCCCTTGCAGGGTAAGTTAAACATAAATATCATAATCTGTAAGATATCTGGAGGTAATTGTTTGGAGGTAAATATTTAGTTGATATTTCAAAAGTCAAATAATTCTGACAAAGCTATGTAAAAGATTTAGAGTTCTGACATAATTATCATGGAAATATTTGTATAGAATGATTCTCTGGTAGTATATTGCATTCATTTTATTTGAAAAAATGAAAAGAGCTCACGAGCTCAACATTTTGAAGAGTAAGACAGCCTGTGATGATTCATGACAATCAGGTCTCCAAGTAATAAGATTTGCATAGAATATTTTTGAATTATTATGATCGTCACAAAAATAGCTTTTCTTATTTCTTAAGTTTGCAGTGCCACTGGAGTATCATTTCATATACAATTATAGTAGACCCCATGTTCTTTTCATAATTTCCTATACCCCTCGATGTGTAGTAAATGGGCTGACGAAGATATTGAGATGCTCCGTCAGTCGGTCAGAGCCTTCAGTGAAGAATTGAGCAGAATAAGCGAGCACATCAAGAGTCGGACGGTGTAAGTTTTCACACGCTGCCATCATGGCAGTCAGTCCGAATCTCACACCGAACGTATTGTTTTCTTTTCCAGCTCTCAAATTCGAACAACCTTGAAGAAGAAGACATTCGAGGAAGCAGGAATGACGGTCAGGCAACAACAGATTCTACCTCAGCAGGCACAACAATCCACATTAGTTCAGCAACAGCAGGTCGTCAAGCAGCAATCGACATCGGGAAACCAGGGTCTTATGGGAAAATCGGCGGAAGTCACACTAAACATGCTGAATGCACCTGAAACGGAAGTAGACGTTGAGGGACTTCCCGAGGAATGTCAAGTTAAGCTCGAATTTGAAGAAGGTGCTACTGAAGAAGTCACTGGCTAAACTAGTTCATTTGTTCATAAGTAAAATAAATGACGGAAAATCTGGTGATACCATCTTCATTTTTGATCACAACTTGTTCATTCAACATTCGGATTTTAACTAGTTTTAAGCATCACTCTCGTAACTCATAAGTTATCTTTTTGCAATAAATGTATGAAAATCTATTTTAGTGTTATTCAGCATCCTTCTCTTTGTTCATTAAATATAAATTTTATTTATTTAAAGAAGTATAGTTTATAATTGAGATACAGTCTTTTAAGGATATATTATTTTTTAACTAAATGTGTGAAAAAATTAAGAAAAATTATAATTTTTTCTATATTTATTGTATTGGAATTTATTGTAAATATAAAGAGTTTGATTTAAAATCGACGACTTAGAATCTGAATAAAAAATTATTTTAATAAGCAGTGTGGGCATGGTTTAAAAAAATAAAAAAAATAAAATAAAATGAGAATATATTTAAACTGTAAAATTATATTAAATATTGTGATCTTATTGAACTGTTATATATATAACATTCATTTTTATGGATAAAAGTATGAATTTCCAGTTTCACTTTTTACAGAAACTATACACTATATTATATTCTTAATGTAGGAAAGATTAGTTAAAAAAATGTTTTTCTACAAAATAAAAAAATATTCAAAATAGAAAATGTTAAAAATAAAAAATATTTTTAGACTTCTGGAAAATAAAATACGGAAGTATAAAAATTCAGTTAGAAATAACTTAGTTATTTGCTGCGTCCCAGTTGGTACTTCGATTGATGTACCAAATAGGGATATTTTGCCACGTGTGAGAGAGAGTCTAGCGGCCTATATCGATGTGTGTATCTCGTTGAATGACGCATACCGACGCACCAACTGTCTGACAGATTAACCGATCAACAATGACAGCACTCGACAGCAGCCGCGCGATGCAGTGAGAGTAGTCGATCGGCATCCTTGCATCGATCGTGGCTGATCACTGGGTTCCTTTTATTTGCTGGATTATGTGCGTGATAATGTGAAAGGGGAAAGGACGCGACACAAATTTATCCTTATTTAGACTCGATTACCTGCGGAGCGATCGCGTGCTGTCCAGACGATATACATCTTAAACAATAACAATTAAAGGCATATTGTGGTAACAATAATACACGTTAACGATATGGAGGGAAGCATGGTGGATAACCCAAGCGGCGACAATTTGGACCGATCCGAGGATGAGGCGGCCCTTCAGGGATGCTGCAGTCCAAAAAAAGCGCCCTACAGATTTCTGGGCCTAGCGCTCATGTGTCTGCTTGGATTCGGTACAGACCTAACGTAAAGGAAAACGTGAAATTGTTTACATCAGATGACGCGTCCTTTGTTTTTATCTTTTATCTATCAATGCGCCCTGCCACGCCAGAATGGTGTCACCTGCCAAAGAGCGAATTGTTATCGTGAATTATGACGACTTGGCGAACTAGATGCATAATCGATGAGTCTCATTTGCTCATCGCGTGACTGATACATTGTCACGTTCTTCATTTCCGTAATTTATATTTATCTATAGAGATGTATTTTATTTCAAAAATGTGGTCATCTGACTCTAAAATTCTATTTATTTCAATGCTGTTTGATATTTTTTAATGCCAAGTATGATAATATTTCGCACTATTTATGGGCGACTTATTTAATATTAAAATTTCTGATATTAAACACAATATATAGAAATGTATTTTATTTCAAACAAGGTTATTTGTAGGATTTTCGAATTTTATTTGTTTAATATTTTTCATTTTATTACCAAGTGTAATAATTTAATATTTTGCACTATCCATGTGGTATTTATTTAATATTAAAATCTCTGATGAGTAAAATTTATCTATATTTATAAGACGCACTGATCTAATTATACTTTTTCCTATTTTATAAGAAATGTTTTAGTTGTGATTTAGTAATCAAAATTTTATATATAGAAAAACAAAAAAAGAATAATTAGTTAAGCTGAAATAGAAATTGTTTAAACATACTATTAAACATACTATTATATATTCTCTATATTATGTTTTCTTGCTATTATACAGAGAAAAATTTGACATTGCTTAGATAAGGCATATCATGAATGTCCTCTTTGTGCGGTTTATCACATTTTTTTTTAAATATTGGCCATATGTTGTATAAGCAATGTTATAATCTATGACACAATCGAACTATATACATATGATAGGGTATCTTCGTTTATTAAAGTAAAGTAAAGCGTTTAGCAAATAGAGTGATTTATTTAATTGAAAAGAGAAGCGCTAGATTTTTTATATAAAATTTATTTGATGTCACCATTATGATTTTAGCAAAAATTTTACTAGATATATGTTTTTTTATTTCAGGCTCGTACTTTTGCTTCGATAACCCTGGAGCATTACAGGATAATTTTAAAACTGACTTGCAAATGTCGACTAGCACATTTGTTTTATTATATTCTATTTATTCTTGGCCGAATGTCATTCTATGCTTCATTGGTGGATTCCTGTTGGATAGCGTCTTTGGAATTCGATTAGGTACGGTGATATACATGGCACTAACGTTAATCGGTCAGATAATTTTTGCGAGTGGCGCTATGGTTGATGCTTTCTGGGTAATGATGCTTGGTCGATTTGTCTTTGGGTATGTTCTCAACATTATTTTATTGGAAATGCAGAATGTTTTAAAATTCATGTCCTTTTAAGATCATCAAATTATTAATTGTTTCTTTTCTGCAGAATCGGCGCAGAGTCGTTAGCAGTCGCACAAAATAGTTACGCGGTCCTTTGGTTCAAAGGCAAAGAATTAAACATGGTATTCGGACTGCAATTGAGCTTCGCTCGAGTAGGATCGACCGTGAACTTCTTAGTAATGGAGCCAGTATACAATTACGTATCTCAATATTATACGGGTCCACAATGTATCGGTGTAGTTCTCTTTCTTGCATCCATTACATGTGTCATGTCGATGATATGCGCCTGTGCATTGGGTTTTATGGATAAACGAGCAGAGAGATTGCTCCGACGAGGAGAAGGACAGGAACCACAGGTTGTTAGTCTAAAGGACGTCAAGGATTTTAAACCAATTTTTTGGTTGGTCGCCCTCATTTGCATTGCTTATTACGTCGCGATATTTCCCTTCATCGCTTTGGGAAAGTAAGTATTCGATAGCACTTATTGGATGATACGACTTTTAAGTCGCATTAGCCAAAATCCATATAAATTAATAATATCGTATTAAAATTAATTTTAAAAACTAATTCTCTTATTTAATCTTTCATACATAATTATATATACATAATAAAAAGATTAATTTTCGTTAATTTTGTTTCAGAGTTTTTTTCGAGCGGAAGTATGAATATGAGCCATCCGCCGCAAATACAGTAAATTCTCTTGTTTATTCAATATCAGCGATAGCTTCGCCTCTTTTAGGTTATTTAGTAGATAGAACAGGCAAAAACGTATCGTGGGTATTTATTAGTATTTGTGTGACTATCATTGCTCATGGTTTGCTCGCTTTTACCTATTTGAGCCCCTATGTGTGTATGGTTCTCATGGGATTGGCCTATTCTATGCTCGCCAGTAGTTTATGGCCTCTAATTGCTCTCGTTACGCCAGAACATCAACTTGGAACTGCTTATGGAATGTAAATATCTTAGCAATCTCATTGTCAGAATAAAATAATGTTAAAAGAGTGTTCTAGAAATAAAATTAATATAATTTTTTTAGAGCGCAATCTGTACAAAACTTAGGTCTCGCTGTAGTCTCAATTGTGGCTGGCATTATTGTTGATAAAGGAGGATATTTAATGCTCGAAATGTTTTTCCTTGGTTGGCTCTGGAGTGAGTATTTTTGCGAATGTGGAAATTCATGCGAACAATATGATTTTCACATAGAAATTTGAAATTTAAATAACATATTTTATACTTAACTTGTTGCAACAGTTTCGTTGATTACCGCCGGTGCAATCTGGATGTCAGACATGGCAACGAGTGGTGGTTATCTCAACATGACACCGGGACAAAGGGAACGATATGAGACAGTTCAATGCACACCTGAAAGTTTGGAGCGAGAAAAATTGTTATCATCGGAATGCACGTCGGATTTCTCAGCTGATAGTCTTATGCAACCACAATCTGATATCAGTATACGAAATCGTTATTTATCTCGTATTGGTGCAATGGTAAATCGATTCTCTTATAAAAGTATAAAGTTCTTATTTTCTTCTGTAAGAGATGATAGACTATGAAAACAAAAATGCTGAAAAAATCTAAATTGTAAATCGTAATTTTTTAATAATGCACGTTTTTAAATTCTAGGTACCCCCACATGCGATTACACCAATTCATCGACCATTACGATGATAATTTAGCTGCAAATTTATATTATTATAAATAGGTGTGTAAAAATACTTTTAAATCTTTAAGAACAAAGTTGGCTCATTGTGTCTTCCTATTACACACAGCTTGATCTGTGATAATTTCGTAACGCAATTTGAGATTTCGCGTTAACAATCGCATTTAACAGTCTATTAAATAGCCTTTTTTCTTTGATAGTCTTAATCTAGATTACAATTATATATGTCTATAAAATTTTTTATAATTTGTGATGATAACACAATGCATCTTGTATTAATTATATATATAGTAGAATGCGAATCATTTTTTTACCTCTAATTTAAAACATAATCTATAACTCTAATTTATAACGCGTTGCGAAGTTACTTGTTCATAAAATACTTGACGTGTAATATATATTGATGTATTATAATAAATGTTTGATCTGACTATTGTCTTTTTTTTTTTAATAAACTAACGAATTATATTAAAAAGCCAGCTATTATTACTTTGATTCGTACATTTTAATATGCACGTTTTAATATTCCCAAAGTTTAATGATTATAAGACGTTTTAAAAGATTATAAGATTTTAAATAAACTTTATATGATTTTAATTAAAGAATTACACATACATTTTTTTAAAAATAAAATCGTGAATTTTTATAAATTCTAAAAGAGAGATTTTAAAAATTAAGGGATTTGTGTTGCTTCATAAAACTTTCGCCCGGATTTCCTGATTTAATTATTTTTTTACGGGTGAACTAATATCTTACATTTATAAAATGTTTTATATCTCAATATATTATAAAATATGTAAAACATTAAAATATATATTTTATATAAAAGATAATATTTATACATATACAATAAAGAGTTAAAGTGGCTAAATTAATCAAATAAAAAGCATGTGCCACAATGCAAGTTTTTATTAACGAGATAATATTTTATTCTTTAAATATATAGATGTTTTAGTCATATCAGAACATAAAATTCGTCTATATTTTTATACACTTATATATGCTTCTTATTTGATTAATTTACACATATATTATAAATTATACTTTTTTATCTATAATTTTTGTATATAAATAAATTCAAAATTTTGTAATCATAAACACAAAATTATAACACTTGCTAATATTTTGTTAATATAGTCGTAATATTTATTGCAAAAATATTGGCTTTTATATACATATGTGAACCTTCTCCGGAAATACGTAATGCCAAGAGTTCTTTACCCGCGCCGTATACATCCGGTATACAAAAAATTTACAATAATTCGCACAGTGGTGTTCGGTGTTTTGGAGTGCGATCCATTTAACGCTGTAAAATGATTCAAAGCATTCTCTGATTGGTCAATTCGTAAACTTCGTTCTTCTGATTGGTCAACGAAACATTTGCAGAGGAGTGAGTTGTAATCACATCCCTGAAGTGTCCAGGGCAGTCCGGACTGATCCAGACGCGCACAGCGCATGTCAAGAGGGCGTATGGACGGTCAGCAGCACCGAGCACGAAAAGACGGAACAGCTGTAGCGCGCAACACGTGCTTACTGTGCAGCAAGTGACATATACGCGTATACGCGCTCGTCCAAGACGTTCTGAGTGGTTTGCAGCGAGATGAGGGTCCACGACGACGCGGATCCCAAACTCGGTACGATGGGGAAATCGAAATTGGCCATGAAGCGGCCCAGCACCGTCGTGTTCCGCGAAAATCCCAACAAAGCGCAGAAAACGAACGTGGACAACAAAGTCGCGAATGCGACGAAGAATAGCGACAGGACGAACATTAGCTTGCACCAGCGGAGAAAATCGCTGCCCGTATATATACTCCGTAAACGGTAAGTTTTTCGGGGAACTACGGGAAAGAAGTAGGTATGTGTTTTTTTACGCATCATAAAAGAGAAAAAGGATGATGTGTGACATATATCCTGCATGCATTGCATATACAGGATGTTTCAAAATGGAGGCTCAATCTTTTGATTGCGATTAGCTAACGGAGATAATTTAGGATTTTAGGATAATTTTGTCACGACTGCTTATTCGCAGTCGATAAAATAGAGCAACTAATTATGGCACTGTTGATTGATTTGTTTATTTACAATATTGTGCATTTTCTAAGAATTTTAGAAAAATATAAGCGTTATACTACCGATGAGATACTATTGAAGACCGACATCCTTACGGGAATTTGCAAATATTGAAGTAATTAAGAGTTAAAAACTGTATAATATTGTATAATAACTGTGATAATATTGTAATAATAATTTTATGATTTATTAGTTTAGTAGATGTATTTATACATTTAGAACTAATACTCGATTTTTCTTTAAAATTGTGATTTCAGTGTTATCGTCAAAGTTTAATTATCAACAGAGATGATAACAGCAGAGAAAAAATTGTAATTTTTCTGCAATATATGGTATATTATAGCTTTACAAGTATATAATGCATATTTATTTATGGAACATTTATGTAATAAAAAAATCATGAATTTAATAATGTATGAGCCAAATATTTATGTTAATAATAGCAAATTTATATCAATTGTCGATAATGTCAGCGTTCTTTAATTATCTCCGAGCCCTTGGGGCCCTTTTTATACCGCCGAAAATTTGCCCAGGGTTGATGGTCTTTAATAGTATTTCGTCGGTGAGAGAGAAATTATACATCATACAATATTAAGATGTAGGAAAGATATTGAAAGCTCCTGACTGATTTAAAAATATATTTTTATATTATTATTTTTTCTTATAATATCTTATAATATTATTTAATAGTCAAATTATATGTATGTGTTAAATAATAATATATAATTATATTGTATAATAATTATGATTATATTTTTTCTAAAAACAGATTTTATAAAATAGTGTGTTTTTAATTTTTATTCCAAAAGGTTGATACTGTATATTATATCACTATATTTCACATGTAAATGCTATATGATAATTTTTTAATTTTATTTTCGATAAAAATTTTTATAAAAATTGTGAATATAAAATTTTTGTATATTTCGAAAATATTACATAAGTGGATATTACGTTACATGTATTATTATGTTACAAATGTTATATTATATCTACAAGTAGAATTGATAACACCATCTATTATCTATATGTGTATGCTTAATAGAGACATACATAAATAGGATTAATAATAACCCGATAAAAATATATATTAAAATAAA